CTATTTGGGAAGCTGAGGCAGGAGGGTTGCTTGAGCCCAGGAGTTCAAGACTCCAATGAGCCATGACCATACCAATGCACTATCTAGCCTGGATGACAGAGCAAGACCTTGTCTCATAAATAAATAAATGGGAGATATTATGGGAGAATCTCAGGATGATTCCTTGAGGCCTGAGACCCATGGTACCAACACAAAAAGAATTTTTCTTTCTCAGAAGGATAGACAGCAATGAATGGAATCAGGACCATTGTCCCTGGGAAACCCATCCCTGTGCCCCTACCACAGTAGGGCTGTACGCAGTATCTCTGTCTTGAGAGATGAGAATGTGGAACCCCTGCAATCTCTGCTGGAAGCCTCTCTCTTCCAAAATCCACTTGCTTATCCATTCCACACAGATGTCTGCCAAAGAATCAAGCTTTGTGCTGTGCTTGATTCAGACCTGTCAGAAGCAACTTAGATTTTTCTACAGATGGAGAAATGAAGAAGTCCAGCTTACAATGGAAGGTTAATTAACATCAGTCTGGAGATTTCATTTCCAGCTGATGGATTACCTATCACAGGTCCGGTGAGTTCATCTGCAGCTCAGGGGAACAAATACAAAGGCTTAAGACAAACGCACTCTTTAACTCAAGACAACCGATACAATGTCTTATAATCTGTGTAGTCATCATAAGCTTCATACTAAAAGGTTATGTTACTGGGAAATTAAAGAAAATCCTTGTAGTTGAAACATTAAATATCTCAGAGAACCTCTTGTTCTTTCTCTACACACATTAAAAGAGGAGCTATAATGGTAATGTTGACCAAAAATGCCAAATTCTGTAAAATATTTTATTTAATTTTTTTTTTTTTTTGAGACAGAGTCTCCCTCTGTCGCCAGGCTGGAGTGCTGTAGCCCGATCTTGGCTCACTGCAACCTCCGCCTCCTGGGTTCAAGAAATTCTTCTGCCTCAGCCTCCTGAGTAGCTGGGAGGCGCCCACCACCACGCCTGACTAATCAAATTCTGTAAAATATTTAAAGAGGTTTATTCTCAGCCAGTATGCCTGATCATGGCTCAGAGGACAGTCTCAAGAGGTCCTGAGAAAGGATACCCAAGGTGGTTAGGTGACAGCTTGGTTTTATACATTTTAGGGAGACAGAAGTTACAGGCAAAAATATAAATCAATACATGGAAGGCATACATTGGTTCAGCCTGGAAAGGTGGACTGTCTTGAAGCAGTGGGTGCCCACAGGTTCTAGGTGGAGTCAAAGATTTTCTGACTGGCAGTTGGTTGAAAGAATTAATCTTTGTCTGAAAAGTTGAAGTCAGTAGAAAGAAATGCTTGAGTTAACTTCTTGGTATACAGATGAAGCCTTTAAGTCGGAGGCTTCAGAGAGCATAGATGGTAAACGTCTCTTAAAAGGTGTCAGATTCTTAGTTAACACTCTCCTAGATCCTGAAAAGACCTAGAAAGGGAAGGAGCTTCTCTGCAGATGCAAACTGCCCCCACAAAAGATGGTTTTGTAGGACCATTTCAAAATATGTCAAGGAAATTTATATTTTGGGGTAAAATATTTTTATTTCCTCCAAGGTATGTTATCTGTCATATGATGCTATACTGAAACCACCTTGGCAAAAATTTATAACTGGGAAAATTACAACAGTGAAAAGGATCTGACTTAACTGACCCCATCTTGCTTTTAACCTCCAAGCTGTCCTTCTTTAGTCCTGGGTGTAAGCAGAACTAACTTTGGGAGGAACTTACAGTTTAATGTTTAAACAAAGACAGTAACAGCCTTTTCCCAAAACAAACACTCTTTCTTCCTGGGCATTAGACTGCCTTTGCAGGACCAACAAATTAGCCACATGATGGGAAATTACGGTTGAGGAGTCATGCGGCTGGAGGGTGCAAGATTTTGAACCTCCCCAAATTGCCCCTCAGGATAGTGTTACTATGGTAATACCTAATATCAGTACTTCAGATATTTTGCAGACCCTGTACTCAACGGATCCATCCGCCGGCATCACCCAGATCAATGAACTGGCTCATCTGATCTGGCAGCCCCTCCCCAGGAAGCAGTGGATGCTCATAGGTTCTAAGTGGAGTCAAAGATTTTCTGACTTGCAATTGGTTGAAAGAGTTAAGTTTTGTCTGAAGAATGGAAGTCAGTAGAAAGAAATGCTTCAGTGAAGATAAGGGGGGTTGCAGAAGCCAAGATTCTTGTGCTGATTCAGCCCAAGAACACAGCTTCAATTCCCTATTATTTCATCTCTGAACTCAGTCAATTAGTACTCCTCACTTTCTGACCCCTTACCCACCAAATTATCCATAAAAACTTACCATCACTGAGCTTTCAGGGAGACTGATTTGAGTAGTAATAAAAACTCTGGTTTTCTATACAGCTGGCTCTCCACAAATTAAACCTATTCTCTATTGCAGTCCCCCTGTCTTGATAAATCAGGTCTGTCTAGGCAATGAACAAGAAGAACCCACTGGACAGTTACAATAGCAGTGCCAGGTTGATAAATCTTGATAAATCAGCTCTGTCTAGGCAATAAACAAGGAGAACCCCCCCACTCAACAGTTACAAAAGCAGCAGTCAGGTTGGAACTGACCAGCATTCATAGTCAATAGTGCACATAAGACTGATGAAACAGACTCTCTATTGTCCTGGGTGTAAACTAACTCTCTAGCAATAGAGAATCTGTTTCGTCAGTCTTATGTGCACTATTGACAATTAATGCGGGTCGGTTGTGCTTAAATTCCAAAAGGGAGGGGGCTTAAGGGGGTGTGTCTGACCTCCCGTCTTGTCATGGTCTGAAATTTAGTTTTTTAGGTTTTCTTTGGCCCAAAGGGGGATCTATTTAGTCAGTTGGGGAGCTTAGGACCTTATTTTTGGTTTACAGTAATGAGACACAACAGATGAGTAGATTTATTTGATTTTATTTAAGACAGAGTCTCACTCTGTCACCCAGGCTGGAGCAGAGTGGCACATTCACAGCCCACTGCAGCCTCAACCTCCTGGACTCAAGCAATCTCCTGCCTCAGATTCCCAAGTAGCTGGGACCTCAGGCACACACCACCATGCCCAGTGGGGCCTTTTAAATTACTATCTGTAGGATGGGGTTCCACTGTGTTGCCCAGGCTGGTCTTAAACTACTGGCCTCAAGAGCTCCGCCTGCCTCACCTCCCCAAGTGCTGGAGTGAGCCACTGCAAACCTGGCTTCAGATGAGTAGATTTAAACTTCAAATCTACTCATCTGTGCCCCAACTAAGTTTCCAGGAGTGAGCCTGTAGTCCATTGGAGTGTAAGATTTCTCCAACTTTCTTTTCCTTCTCATTCTTCAAATGACAGTTTCAGTGGAGAATTTAAAATTGTAATTTAAAATTCCCTAGGGTCGATCCAAAAAAGTTAAAGAAAATACCTGATATTCATGTGCCTCTATACAAACAGGAAATCCATCTGTGTCTCTCCCAAATAAATGTGTTTGGATATCCTAAGATCCATAAAATTCTTCCCTTAAGGAAGACTATAAGAGAAACCAGCACACACACACACACACACACACACACACACACAAAATGCACTCATGCACACACGTGCACACGCACACACACTCATGCACACACACACACACACACACATATGCACACACACACTGTGCAATCTAAAGCAACCCCATCTTGGATGCTAATCCACCAAGTTGATGTGTTTCGTTGGTTTTTCTTTTTTTCATTTTTGAGACGGTCTCACTCTGTCACCCAGGCTGGAGTGCAGTGGTGTGATCTTGGCTCACTACAATCTCCACTTCCTGGGTTCAAGCAATATCCCGACTCAGCCTGAGTAGCTGGGATTACAGGCATGTGCCATCATGCCCACCTAATTTTTGTACTTTTAGTAGTGATAGTGTTTTGCCACATTGGCCAGGCTGGTCATGAACTCATGGCCTCAAGTGATCCACCTGCCTCAGCCTCCCAAAGTGCTGGGATTACAGGCCTGAGCCACCACACCCGGCCAACCAAGTTGACTTCTGATTAAATAGCTTTCAGGGAAGGCCTCTAAGATTTTCAGTTTATCTGTTGTTCCTTGTGTAAAAGCAGGTGCTTACCAGAAATTCTGCCCTTAGGCAGATTCACATGGCATTCTTCCCTTTCCCTGGGGGACTGTCCTTCACATTCCTTTCCTATAGTATATAGGTATTGGGTCTTAGGGGTAATGGCAGGGGATCCACCAACTTGCCTTCCTGCCGCTGAAACCAGACTATGGCTTCAGTTCATAAATCCGTTTCTCCTTAAATATGAAGCCAAAGGACATGCAGACAGGAGCTCTTGCTGAAGGAGGGATTATTTGTCTGAAGAGTTCTGTCCCCCAGGCTTACTTGGCTATGGGGTGGACCCCTGGCTAGGGGACAAGCAGACAACTGTGTGTGTGAGTGTGTGCGCATATGTAGTTAGCAGCCATATGCCATTAAGAAACAGTGTAGCTTTGGGCAAGCTGCTTAGTATCTTAGGACCTCAGCTCACTCGTTCACAAATTGGGTCCCTTGAGTGAGATTTCTCTTGGGGTCTTCAAAAGCCCAGGGACTGTGGACACAAACAGCAGCTTAAGGCCACTGAGGAGGGCAAGCACTCAACAGTTAGGACAACGTGAACTTTAGCCTCAGCTCTGCTAGGTACCTGCACATGACCTCGAATGCTGCCCTCTACTATGCCTCGGTTTTCTCATCTATAAAAATGGTATTTTTATCTTGTTGGTGGGGCTTTTAAGTAAATTAAAAGACGTAAAGGGCCTAGCACGGTAGCTGGCAATAAATACCAGTTTCTCTTCCCGCCTTCTCCATTTCGCCCAGCAGCAGCGATGTTCACATTCAGGACCTATCTGAAAAGACCCTCCCAAAGCGCAAAGGGGAAAGTCACTGCTCGAGGAGCCGATGCGAGCACAGCGCCCTCGCGCGCCGAGTCGGGGTACTGTCGTGGGGGTCGGCCCCGCCCACGAGCGCCCGCGCCTGCGCAGAGGCACTGCCCCAAGTTTGTTGTGATTGGCTAGGACGCCGGCGGCGGCGGCGGCGGCGGCGGCGGAAGCACCGGGCCGCGGCACCACCATGGCGGTGCGACAGGCGCTGGGCTGCGGCCTGCAGTTGGGTCGAGCGCTGCTGCTGCGCTTCACGGGCAAGCCGGGCAGGGCCTACGGCTGGGGGCGGCCGGGCCCGGCGGCGGGCTGGGTCCGCAGGGAGCGTCCGGGCTGGGCCGCGGGACCGGGCGCCGAGCCTCGCAGGGTCGGGCTCAGGCTCCCCGACCGCTTCCACTTCTTCCGCCAGTCTGTGGCAGGGCTGGCGGCCCGGCTGCAGCGGCAGTTCGTGGTGCGAGCCCGGGGCGGCGCGGGCCCTTGCGGACGGGCAGTCTTTCTGGCCTTCGGGCTAGGGCTGGGCCTCATCGAGGAGAAGCAGGCGGAGAGCCGGCGGGCGGCCTCAGCCTGTCAGGAGATCCAGGTGAGCCGGGCCAGGTCCTAAAATCGGGCGGGGTACGGATCCCAGCGCTGGGGCGGGGATCAGAGTGGGGGTCGTCCTGAGCCGGGAGGGCGCGGGGCTCCACGTGGAGGCGGGGCTCCACGTGGAGGCGGGGCTCCACGTGGAGGCGGGGCTCCACGTGGAGGCGGGGCTCTGAGCCTGTCGAGGGCGGGGCGGGGCGGGGCGGGGCGAGGGTAGGGTTATTAAAGCTCATATATTTATTTCACCATTACTTATCGGCTGCTATAAAGCCAACACCTCCCATTTGTTTTATTTTTTTGTTTGTTTGTTTTTGAGATGGAGCCTTGCTCTGTCGCCCAGGCTAGAGAGCAGTGGCGCTATCTCAGCTCAACGCAACCGCCGCCTTCCAGGTTCAAGCAATTCTCTTGCCTCAGCCTCCCAAGTAGCTGGGATTACAGGTGCCCGCTACCGCACCGGGCTAATTTTTGTGTTTTTAGTAGAGACAGGGGTTTCACCATGTTGGCCAGGCTAGTCTTGAACTCCTGACCTCGTGATCCACCTGCTGGGATTACAGGCGTGAGCCACTGCGCCCGGCGTCCTCCCATTTGTTTTAATGTTTCCCTTCCTCAAATGAAGTAATGTGGCCAATTACAGCTCCAGTCACAGCACAGCAAAAGGTTTTGTGTACATTTTCTAAAATTTACTGACAACTAAACCATAACATTTCTATCCCTTTGAAGTAGTTGTCTCTAATTTTTGGAGGTGGAAAGTCTTCAGGTGAAGGGACATGATCGAAGTCACACAGCCAATAAAAAACAGTACCTTTAACCACTGAGCCAGGCTGCCTCCACGGTTTACCAAAAGGATGAGTAGTGACAGAGCTGAAACTGCAGTAGGACGAGAAAACATCAGACCTAACGTTTTAGTTACCTGTCTGTGTAGAGTTATCCCTGCTGACTGAATACACAGGGGGTCTTCCTTTTTTTTTTCCTTTTTTTTTTTTGATACGAAGTCTCGCTTTATTAACTCCAGCCAGGCTGGAGTACAATGGCGCCATCTCAGCTCACCACAACCTCCTCCTCTGGCTTCAAGCAGTTCTCCTGCCTCAGCCTCCCGAGGTGTGCACTACCATGCCTGGCTAATTTTTGTATTATTAGTAGCGACGGGGTTTCACCATGTTGGCCAGGCTGGTCTTGGACTCCTGATCTCAAGTGATCCACCCGCCTCGGCCCAGATTACAGGCGTGAGCTACCATACCCAGCCTCTTAGGCTTTTTTAGTGCCTAAAATAGCACAAGGCTTCCGTTTCTGCCCAACCAAAGTCTGTATTAGTCAGGGTTTTCTAAACAGAACCAATAGGATGTGTCTGTTTAGAGAGGCAGATTTATTTTGAGGACCTGGCTCCCTATGGAGACTGGCAAGTCTAAAAGCACAGAGTAGGCGGGCAGGCTGGAGAGCCAGGGAGGAGCCAGGGGTGCAGTTCAGGTCTGAAGCCTGGCAGCTGCCAGAATCCCATCTTCTTCCAGAGAGGCCACTCTTTTTCCTGTGCGTGTAGAGCCACTCACTAAATTAGCACAATACCTGCATTTTACAGGTTAGGGCTGAGGTGGTAGAAGAGGGAGTGACTTGCCCAAGGACATAGCTATTGGGGTCAAGCAGTGGCTCCTGGGTTTTCTGGTTGCCAGCCCAGTTCCTATTGCTCATCACCACTGTCTCATGTTTGAGCTCTGGCCAGTTTGGGGTGACAGGTGCTATCTGGCCTAGTCCCCAGCCCCTGACCTTGTCTTTTGCCACAACTTAACTGGCAGAAACTAGGGATGGGAAATTTGACTCATCCTGCTTAAAACGAACGAGGCTTTTTTAACTGAGGAGATTGATCATCCTAAACTTAGAATTCACACACCCTCTTCGCACGCTTCATCCACCTATACCTGCAGATGTTATTAGTTATCAATTAATTTCACATTAAAGCACATTTTTTTTCCCACTGGCTGCTTTTGCTGGAGTTAGTTTCACATTTAAAAAATTCTGAAGCCAGGTATGGTGACTCATGCCTGTAATCCTACTAGTGCTTTGGGAGGCCAGGGTGAGAGAATCTCTCAAGCTCAGGAGCTGAAGACCAGCTGGGGCAACCTAGTGAGATCTTGTTCTGACCAAATGTTAACAAATGAGCTGGGCATGGCGGCACATGCCTATAGCCCCAGCTACTTGGGAGGCTGAGGTGGGAGGATTGCTTACGCCCAGGAGTTTGAGGCTGCAGTGAGCTATAGTTGCACCACTGCACTCCAGCCTGGACAACTAGCGGGAGTGTGCTAGTAACAAGCTCTAAAAATTTATATTATAAAAAATACATATAATGTATGTATATTTTACATAATATGTATATATAATATACTATTTACAATACATAATATGGTATACATAATGTGTATGTGTATATATACTACATATATAATATGTATACTATATATAACATACAATATACATACATTACATATACCGTATTTTATATATATACATACATTATGTATGTCATATTATATATTATATGTAGTATACATATTATGTATATGTAGTATACACACACGTGTTGCTTCTGCTCCATGGAGTTTATAAACTAGTTGGCAAGGGAAGATGGACTTTGATTTTTTTTAAAAGTTCAAAGTTATAGTGCAAGGTGAAATTGCTTACAGATACCAAGTGCTTTAGGAACCCTCTAGAAGGAAAGTTGCCATGGGCTGGGTCATCAGGGCTGGTTACAGAGGAAGAAGGAGCTTGAATTGGGCTCGCTGGCTGAGCAGGGATGAGCCAGACAGAGCAATACTATAGAAACGGGCTGGAAGGATGGTCTGAGCAGCTTTCAGAGAGAGGTGTCAGAGGATGAGTGCAGGCAGTGTGCAGACCAGCCTGGCAGGCACCAGAACACAGATAACGTCCTGGGCAGTCTGGTGAACAGCCGAGTGACACATTAAAGCAGTGCGTTTTGCTGTGGCTCATGGCAGGGAAGGATGGCACTGGGACTGGGATGGTCTAGACATGGTGCCTGGTAGGCCATGGCCATGGGACGTTTGCAGAGCTGTGCCTGGCACCACGGGTGACTAACCTTGGCAAGGAGGGCTCAGCAGGTCAGACCATTTGAGAGGGAAAGTGGAGCCTGGGTGACTGGAGGAGTGACGTCACCACTGCCTGAAGCACAGATTTTTGTCACATGGCCTCTTTCCCAGTATGGCACCACCCCCAGCACCTGCCCCTCCATCCATTTCTGTCTGAACTCTTGTACTCTTGATATCTTTCTGGACAGAGTAGCCCTATCGGCGCCCTGAGAGGCAGAGACAGGAAGATAGGACTGAATCCCTCTGCTCTAGGGATGTGCCTGATCTCACCCCCTTGTCTGCAAGGTCCTCTGAGATCCCGGTGGATCACGTGCTCCTGCTAGCTGCCCAGGAGCCGTCAGCCAAGGTCTTTGCAGAGCGAGCTGTCTCCATAATCAGACACCTCCAGAACTCTGCTGGAGAGTGAAGGCAGCAAGGAGGGGTGCACCAGCCGTAGAACTCAGGGTTCCTGACCTCTCAGATCGTTGAGTGTTGTGAGCACAGTGAAGCAGCAGAGTTGGGGACAATCATTCTGAAGAATGAGAGAGAAGATGGCCTGGACCAGGCTGAGCAGTGGACCCTGTTGGGTTGTGTTTTTCTGGTTTATTCATCTGGTTGGTGCGGACCATGCCTCACTGCACCCCTCTCTGCCCCCCCGCTTCCCTTCTCCTTGGGCCTTCCTAGGCTCCCTGGCTCACAGTGCCTTCTTTTTTCCTCACAGGCAATTTTTACTCAGAAAAGCAAGCTAGGGCCTGACCCGCTGGACACAAGACGTTGGCAGGGCTTTCGGCTGGAGGAGTATCTGATAGGGCAGTCCATTGGCAAGGGCTGCAGTGCCGCTGTGTATGAAGCCACCATGCCTACACTGCCCCAGAACCTGGAGGTGACCAAGAGCGCCAGGCTGCTTCCAGGGAGAGGCCCAGGTACCAGTGCACCCGGAGAAGAGCAAGAGCGAGCGCCAGGGGCCCCTGCCTTCCCCTTGGCCATCAAGATGATGTGGAACATCTCGGTAAGCACCAGTCCTTTTGTCTGTAAAGGAGGCGTTCTCAAAATGCCCATCTTAGTGGGCCTGGTGGGGATTTTTTCCAGGAAATAGATAGGAAAAGACAGATTCTCCACAGGAAAGGTGCCTGTATAGTCAGGCTGCCTCCCTCTGTTACACAGAATGTGTCAAATTGTATTCTTTCCACAGATCACGCAGGGATCAGCTTCACAGGTAGATTCTGGCCAGGCATAGCGAATCATGCCTGTAATCCCAGCACTTTGGGAGGCCGATCGCTTGAGCTCAGGAGTTCAAGACCAGCCTGGGCAACATAATGAAAACACCATCTCTATGAAAAATACAAAAATTAGCCAGGCGTGATGGCTTGCACCTGTAGTCTTAGCTACTTGGGTGGCTGAAGTGGGAGGATCACTTGAGCCCAGGAGGCAGAGGCTGCATTGAGCCGAGATTGTGGCACTGCACTCCAGCCTGGGTAACAGAGAGAGACCCTGTCTCAGAAAAAAAAAACTCCAAAGGTAGACTCTGATGCAGCAGGTCAGGGGTGGGGCCTGAGGTTCTGCCTTCCCAGCAAGCTCCCAGGTGATACCAATGCCACTGCTCTGCCGCACTTTGAGTACCAGGTGCCTACACCATTAGTTTCCACACTGACTGGTTAGTTCGCCATCCCCTCCTTCCTGTGACCTGCCTCACTGGAGAGGGAACTGGATCTCTTTCCTCTAAGCTCACCCTTCAAGCCCACCTCCAGCTCAGAGGCTTGCCTGTCAACTCCCTGCTGTCCACTCTTGGAGGGACTCAAGGCTTTGGGAAATTGAGTATTTTTCCGCCATGAAAACACTTTCTGTCCACTTAATTTATTTACCTTGCCATTGCTAGGTGGGTTTAGAAAATGTGTCAAGACCCGATGCTTTGTCTCCTGCCCATCCTTGGGCTCATGCATTCAAGGCTGAGGTGGGAAGTGGCCACAGCAGTTCATGCTGGACACTAGAGGATGCAGTTTCTTGTTCTGATTTGAGGAATGAAGCAGTCGCACTCCAAGTTGGGTTAATGGCTAACAAGTAGCCAAATCCTTTGTCTGTGAAACTTCCAGTCTTAGCATCAAAACATGCACTGGTTGGGGCATGACAGCTGTTGCATTCACAGAAGCTACAAGACTGCTGATTCTTACAGGAGCTTCTTGATACAGGCTTCATAGGTCCTGGGAGCGCTTCCTAATACAATGAGGACAGTAAGGTGCTTTCCGCACTCTTCTGTTTTTGTCTGTTTGTTTTGGGGGATGGAGGAAAGCTGTTCATGATTCAGTACAACTTCACCCAGGGTGGAGCGTACCAGGCTCTGCCCTGGCTGCTGAAGGGAGCCTGCAGGGTGGGTTAGTGATCCAGTGGTCAATTTTGAACGGGTAGGAACCAGAGGCACCGATGGCAGGAAGCAGCACCCCATACCCTGATCACCTTGACATCTCCTCCAGCCCTGGCACCCAGCATGCAAGAGTTTGAGGAGTGTGAAGTATCTTCTGAGTTGGCATGGATGGCACCTCTGTCTCCCAGGAGTACCTACTCTCAGCCTGCCCCTGGGGACAGGTCATCTTATCTCGAAGGTTAGAGCTAATTCTAGGCAGTAGCTGCCCTGCTCCAGGTTACAGGCAGGGCTTACAAGGAACGTGCCGTTCTGCTCTGGCCTTTGTAACCCTGGGTTCCTGGTGGGTGTTCTAGGCAGGTTCCTCCAGTGAAGCCATCTTGAGCACAATGAGCCAGGAGCTGGTCCCAGCGAGCCGAGTGGCCTTGGCCGGGGAGTATGGAGCAGTTGCTTACAGGTAAGTGCCTTCTGCCTGCCAGACTGACTGGGACTTCTTTGAGAGCAACTTCATCCATCACTTGTGTCCGCAGCACTTGACAGTAGATATTAAAGGCTTAATGTTGATGATGGATTTTCAGTTAGTGGATAATTTCACTTGGGAAAGATTGCAGGTAATCTGACCCCAAATGATGATGCACATGCGTAATTCACATTGGAGCAGGGGAGAGAAGTCCACCCAAAAATGCCCAATTCACAACGTTACGTGATTGACGAGGGTTCTCCGATTCCTCCTAAGAAATACACGAGCAAAGCGCCACCTATCGGAATAAACTGAACTCTGTCCCCACAGGAGGAACACTCATTTCACTAACAGTTATGTGTACTGATGGTGCTAAGAGATTTTAAAAAAACAAAAAGTGACAACCGGGCATGGTGGCTCATGCCTGTAATCCCAGCACTTTGGGAGGCTGAGACAGGCAGATCACCTGAGGTCAGGAGTTACAAACCAGCCTGACCAACATGGAGAAACCCCATCTCTACTAAAAATATAGAATTAGCCAGGCATGGTGGCTCACGCCTGTAATCCCAGCTACTCTGGAGGCTGAGGCGCGGAAAATCACTTGAACCTGGGAGGCAGAGGTTGTGGTGAGCCAAGATTGCACCACTGCACTCCAGCCTGGGCAACAAGAGCGAAACTCCATCTCAAAAAAAAAAAAAAAAAAAAAATACTGGTCTGTTGGCCCAGAGTTCTCAGTGTGGCAGCAGAAGGCCCAGGGTGTAAGTGTTAGAATAGAGTACGCTCAGGGGCTTAGGGAGCCCAGGGGAGGTGTGTACTGCAGAGGAGAGGGTACTTAGAAAGGCTTCTCAAAGGGACAGTTTGTGCTACTTTGTGAAGGATGAATCGGTATTACCTGAGCAGAGTAGGGAAGAGGCATTCCCAGCACAGGGAAGAGCCCGTGAACAGCAGCTGCACTTCCAGCTCAGAAAGGCCTGTGTCCACAGGTGGTGAGGACTGACGCGCAGGCTATGGCAGAGGAGGTGCGTTGCCCAGCTTAATATTTACAGCCTGGCTCACACCTGTAATCCCAGCACTTTGGGAGGCCAAGGCAGGCAGATCACTTGAGCTCAGGAGTTCAAATGCAGCGTGGGCAATGTGATGAAACCCCATGTCTACAAAAAATATTAAAAATTTTAGCTGGCCATGGTGGCACGTGTCTGTGGTCCCAGCTACTCAGGAGGCTGAGGTGGGAGGATTGTTTGAGCCCAGGGAGTCAGGCTGCAGTCAGCCAAGATCACACCACTGCACTCCAGCCTGGGTGACAGAGTAAGACCCTGTCTCGGAAATATATGTATATATATTTGTAGCCCACCAAGAAGAGGTGAGTCTGCTGCATTTTTGGTGATTTACTGGAGGGCTAGTTTAGAGATCTTCATTCTGTCAGAAGCAGGAAGGCAGAAGTAGGAGCTTAAAGGAATGGACGTGGAAAACCCCTTCCATGGTTTGGACTCCAGTGTGGCTGGGAGTCCCTACAGGCTGGTGGAGGCCACCGCTCAGGTGGCTTCCTCTTCTCCTGAGGCCTTTGTGGAGAAAGTGGACACCTGAATGTCACATGCTTTAGGGCTGACACGGTCCTCAACGCCTCCTTTTGAGGTGCGAGTGGCAGCTGGCTGACGTGCTGCTGTCCTGCACTGGTAGGATCTTGATGTCTGCTGCCTAGACCTCCCGTCTGACATGGTCCCTGGCCCTCTCCAGGGACTCTGTTCCTTTAGTAGTTCTCACTATCCAGCGTGAAATCACGGTTCGATTTTGTTCCAGCTATACTGTAAATGCTCTTTTTTTACTGCCTACCCCCAGGGCTCAGTAAATACCTGTTGGATGTGGCAGCAGGTACATGACCTTAACTGCTGGTGTACCTCTGTCGAAGCTTCCCCTAGAGCGCCCTGGGTTCATTTCCTCCTAGCCTCTGCTGGCCTGGGGCCCAGAGACTCGGGCACTTTGCGACCTGCTCCTCTCACTGCGTTTTGCACCTTATGTCTCACCCTTCCCGTCAGCACCCTACATTCCAGCATGCTGGCTTCATAGCGCCTTCCCCAAACGTGCCAGGCTCCTCTGTGACCATCTCCTGGGCGTGCAGCTGGCTACACCTGGGCTGCCCCCCTCCCACAGTCCAGGTCTCAGTTCAGACACCCCCTGTCTGTCATGTGTCTCCCCAGCACAGCATACTCCCTGCCCCTGAGCTCCCATGATACCTCCGGGGGCCCTGACAGCCTGAGGCTGTGATCATGACTTGCCTAGGAGCCGGAGGGTGGAAATGATACTCTGGCTCCTTTGATTGCGTGGAACAGAGGCCACTCAGGTTGACTCAAGAGCAGGAGCAGTGCGAGGGCACGCGTGGACTGCAGCCATACAGCCTTGGGACCACGCAGCGCTGGGAGAGCCTGGCTCTGCGCCATTCGCTTCCCTCTACCATTGTCACGGAACAAATGATGGTGTTACGGGCTCTAGCCTGATGTGCTATAAGCAGTGACACTGGATTTTTGAGAAAAGCCAGGCTTTCTATTGCGAGTCAACTCACACGGAGACAGGAGTCTAATTCAACCCTGTCTCCCTGTGCTCAATTTAAGGCAGTAATTTTATTAGAAAAGGTTTAAGGGGTGGATTCTAAGATTAGCAGGTGATTGGTGGAAGGAAAGAAGTCTGGACAGTCGTTGGACCTGTGCAGTTATCTCTTCACGCCGCCTCACGGGTCCCCTATGCAGATTTGGGAGGAGTATGAAACGTGTGGCGGCAGTTCAGGCCGGGACGTCAGCAAACTTGTTCTGTGCAAGCCGCAGGTGGCCTTTTTGGTTCTGACCGATTTCGGCCAGTCCTTTTATCTCACAAGCAGAGGGAGTTCAGCCTTTCAGAAAGTGGTTTCTGCAAACTCAAATTTTCTTTTCTTTTTTACTGAGACAGGGTCTCACTCTGTTGCCCAGGCTGGAGTGCAATGGCGTGATCTTGGCTCACTGCAGCCTCAAACTCCCTGGGCTCAAGTGATCCTCTCTCCTCAGCCTCCTGAGTAGCTGGGTCTGCAGGCACATGCCACCATGCCCAGCTAATTCTTAGTTTTGTTTGTTTGTTTTTGAAATGGATTTTTCATTTGTCATTGAGGCTGGAGTGCAATCTTAGCTCACTGCAACCTCTGCCTCCCAGGTTCAAGCAATTCTCCTGCCTCAGCCTCCTGAGTAGCTGAGATTGCAGGCATGTGCCACCACGGCTAGCTAATTTTTTTGTATTATTAGTAGAGATGGGGTTTCACCATGTTGGCCAGGCTGGTCTCGGACTCCTGACCTCAGGTGATCCACCCACCTCAGCCTCCCAGAGTGCTGGGATTATAGGCATGAGCCACAGAGCCCAGCCTGGTTTTTATAATTTTTGTAGAGACAGGATTTCTCCATGTTGCCCAGGCTGGCCTCGAACTCCTTGGCTCAAGTGATCACCTGCCTCAGCCTCTCAGTGCTGGGATTACAGGAGTGAGCCCCAAGAATTTCCATTAGTTACTGATTTCTTGAACTCATGGGAACACGGTTCCACTGTCTGAATCTTGTTTCTTCCTCGCGTCTCCTGTTCCTGCATCCCTTTGGCCTGCTCACCTCTGGCTCCTCATGGCCCCAGTGAAGTCTCATGGCTTCCTCTCCACTGCAGACTGGCAGATTTCTTCACTCACACTCCCAAAGAGAGAATCTACCTTCTCCCCTTCCCTTTGTCCAACCATCTGGGTCTTGAGTGTCACTGTAGGCTCACTGCCCTTGGGGCAGGTGACCCCTTGGCCCAGTCAGCTTTGGCTGAAGGGCAGGGTTGGCACACAGCTGGCAGAGCCACCCCATCCAAAATCCAGCCACTGTGCCTCAGCAGGGCTGTGTGTGGAGGGGGAGGGGGCTTCCCAGAGGAGTAGGAGCGGGCAGGGCAGGCAGGTAACACCACCACTACCAACTGCATCGGGATCTACTCACTAATTCAACAAAACCCATATTCCATGCCAACTATACTAGACTTGGAATTAAAATTCAGGCATGGTCTTGCTCTTAGGGAGCTCACGTGATTACTTACTGATGAATGTCTCCCTCCCCTCTTAGATTGCAAATCCGTGAGAACAGGGACTCTGTCTTGTTCTGTGCCATAGTTCCACAGCATACCAGCATGACATCTGGTACTTAGCGTGAAAACAATACATAGGGGTTAAATGAATAATAGTACGGCTGATATCAGCTGAGAGCTTCCTCTGTGCTAGACAGGATTTTAGGTGCCTTCCACACATTGACAACCTTCTGCAGCGTGTTAACACCTCATTCCCCTTGCACCATGGAGATTGAGCCCAGAGAAGGTAAGAACAGAGGGGGTACATTCCAGGACAGACCCCAGTGGATGCCTGAAGCCACAGATAGTAACAAAGCCTGTATAGACTGAGTGTTTTTTCCTATACATACATACCTATGGTAAAGTTTAATTTATAAATTAGGTACAATAAAAAAGGTGATAACTAATACAATAATTAGGACATACTGTAATAAAAGTTATGTGAATGTGGTCTCTCTCTCCTCTCTCTAAATATCTTGTACTGTACTCACCTATTCTCAGACTGCAGATAACTGAAATTGCAGAAAGCGAAACTGTGGATGAGGTTGGGGCTACTGTAACTCAGCCAAGCACTTACAGTGGCAGGCCTGGAATTCAAACCCAGGCAGTCTGATTCCTGGGTTTCTGTTTCTCCACCTGTGTTCTACCACATGGGATGGATAGGAGGGATAGGTGGACAGTTGGATGGGTGGACAGATGGATTGAAGGATGGGTAGGGGAGTCATCAGATGTGTTCCCCAACACCATGTACAGTACCTGGCACATAGCAAATCTATGCTAAACATTTGATAGTAAGTGAATAATGAATGTCAGTGCCACTGTTGGTGTGGCCTTAGGTTATTTTCTTTCCAGGTGTTATATCTGATGCTGGCCTTATATGTTTGTCTCACTTGGCTGAATAGAAAATCCAAGAGAGGTCCCAAGCAACTAGCCCCGCACCCTAACATCATCCGGGTTCTCCGCGCTTTCACCTCTTCTGTGCCGCTGCTGCCAGGGGCCCTGGTTGACTACCCTGATGTGCTGCCCCCACGTCTCCACCCTGAAGGCCTGGGCCATGGCCGGACGCTGTTCCTCGTCATGAAGAAGTAAGTGGCAGCTGCGAGGCAGGGCCCTGGAGCTGCTAAATCTCCCGGGGGAGCTGGTCCCTGCCCTCCAAATGCACCTTGAGCAGGGGGTTTCAGAGAAGAGGGTCATCACTCTTCAGGAGAATAAAGCCATGCAGAGGGAGCATATCTACCCTGGAGAGCATTTTCCCGTTGGGAGGACTTTTCATGAAAACAAAATCTTATCTTCGTCCAGAACATACTTATCACCTAGTCCTTTTGATCCATTCACCTGTTAAGCTTTTCTGTGGCTGACCTTATCTGTTTTTAACATAAAAACAGTTCTGGCTGGACACAGCGCCTCACGCCCATAATCCCAGCACTTTGGGAGGCCGAGGTGGGTGGATCACCTGAGGTCAGGAATTCAAGACCAGCATGGCCAACATGGTGAAACCCTGTCTCTACTAAAAATACAAAAATTAGCAGGGTATGACAGCAGGTGCCTGTAATCCCAGCTACTGGGGAGGCTGAGGCAGGAAAATCACTCGAACATGGGAGGCAGAGGTTGCAGTGAGCCAAGAACACGCCATTGCACTCCAGCCTGGGCAACAGAGCAAGACTCTGTCAAAACAAACAAACAAAACCGGTTCTCCTTCCTCACCCTCAGTACCCCCAACTTTGCTGTAGCGGGAGTTTTAAGTAAGTAAATATCTGTACTTTGAATATAGGGAGCCACAGCTCTTCCTAATTTCAGGATGGTGAGTGGGCAGGAGCAGAAAGGATGCTGGGGAAAAATAGGAATCAAAACGCTCCTGGAAGGGGAAGAGGAACAGCCTAATCCTAACAATGATTAAGGCATTAGGAAGTCTAGCAAGATGGCTAACTCCTATAATCCCAGCACTTTAGGAGGCCAAAGTGGGTGGATCACCTGAGGTCAGGAGTTCGAGACCAGCCTGACCAACATGATGAAACCCCGTCTCTACTAAAAATACAAAAATTATGTGGATGTGGTGGTACATGCCTGTAATCCCAGCTACTTGGGAGACTGAGGCAGGAGAATTGCTTGAACCTGGGAGGTGGAGGTTGCAGTGAGCCAAGATTACACCACTGCACTCCAGCCTGGGTGACAGAGTGAGACTCCATCTCAGAAAAAAAAAAAAAAAAATAGCTATTAGGAGCTGTCGGTGTTTGGTAGCCAGCAGCTGTGTCCCCTCTCCACCAGCTATCCCTGTACCCTGCGCCAGTACCTTCACATGAACACACCCAGCCCCCGTCTCGCCACCATGATGCTGCTGCAGCTGCTGGAAGGCGTGGACCATCTGGTTCAACAGGGCATCGCGCACAGAGACTTGAAATCTGACAACATCCTCGTGGAGCTGGACCCAGGTAGGAACCTGCTGCACCATGAGCGCTCTCCAGGGGCACTAGAGGGTAGGTCGGGAGCATTTAGGACCAACTCTTCAGGTCCTCTCTGGTTTTGTGTTCTAAGTCGTGTCTTCATTTAGCTCTGTACATGAGAGGTGAGCAGTCTCTCCCTCAGAATGGGGGCTTTTGTTCTGTCTTTGCAGAGAGACAGCAGTTCCCAAGTTCGTTTCTGTTGCCCACTTACAGAACAAGAACTTCAGTGCTGCAAGTTTTCACAGTTAAATAAAGAGGCCAGGCACAGTGGCTCACACCTTTAATCCCAATACTTTGGGAGGCTGAGGTGGAAGGACTGCTTGAGGCAAGGAGTTTGAGACCAGCCTGGGAAACATAGCGAGATCCCTTCTCTACAAAATAATAATAATAATAATAATAATTTAATTAGCCAAAAAAAAAAAAGTTAGCCAGGCATGGTGGCATGCACCTGTAGCCCCAGCTACTTGGAAGGCTGAGGTAGGAGGATCATTTGCACCTAGGACTTCAGAGTCTGCAGTGAGCTATGAATGTGCTCACAAAATAATTTTTGGCTGGGTACAGTGGCTCACGCCTGTAATCCCAGCACTTTAGGAGGGCGAAGCGGGCAGATCACGGGGTCAAGAGATCGGGACCATCCTGGCCAACATGGTGAAACCCTGTCTCTACTAAAAATACAAAACTTAGGTGGGCATGGTGACACGCGCCTGTAGTCCCAGCTACTCAGGAGGCTGAGGCAGGAGAATCACTTGAACCCAGGAGGTGGAGGTTGCAGTGAGCTGAGATTGTGCGACGGCACTGTAGCCTGGCAACAGAGCGAGATGCTGTCTCAAAACTATTAATAAATTTTCAAACCACGAAAGCTGTCCAAATATAAGCCCAATTGCTCTGGAAATGAGTTGCCCACCACTGGAAGCATTTAAGTAGAAGCTGAATGGCCACTTGCCTAGGAAACCTGTAAAGGAGGTTCATATATCTGATACATTTTTGAACTAGATTTAAATTTTTACTACATTCCTTTTTTCAAAAAAATTTTAAAGATTGAGGGGCCATGCTAATCTTCTCTGTATCTTTCCAATTTTAGCATATGTGCTGTGGAAGTGAGCACTGAACTAGAAGATTTAAAATAATTAAATGATTAGATGAACTGGCTTTTATTTAACTTCATTTATTTATTTGAAACAGTCTTGCTTTGTCACCCAGGCTGTAGAGCAGTGAGCTCACTGCAACCTCTGCCTCCCAGGTTCAAGCAATTCTCGTGCTTTAGCTTCCCGAGTAGCTGGGATTATAGGCATGTGCCACCACGCCCAGCTAACTTTTGTATTTTTAGTACAGATGGGGTTTCACTGCTGGCCAGCCTGGTCTCAAACACGTGGCCTCAAGTGATTGACCCCCCTCAGCCTCCAAAGTGTTGGGATTACAGGTGTGAGCCACTGTGCTCGGCTGGGAACTGGCTTTTTAAAGGAACTTTGTATGGACTGTTTTACAAATAACTAAATAACTGATTCTTTTTTTTAATTATTATTTATTGAGACATAGTTTCCCTCTTGTTGCCCAGGCTGGGGTGCAATGGCACAATCTCAGCTCATCACGACCTCCGCCTCCCAGGTTAAAGAGATTCTCGGCCGGGCGCGGTGGCTCAAGCCTGTAATCCCAGCACTTTGGGAGGCCAAGGTGGGTGGATCACGAGGTCGAGAGATCGAGACCATCCTGGTCAACATGGTGAAACCCCGTCTCTACTAAAAATACAAAAAATTAGCTGGGCATGGTGGCACGTGCCTGTAATCCCAGCTACTCAGGAGGCTGAGGCAGGAGAATCGCCTGAACCCAGGAGGCGGAGGTTGCTGTGAGCCGAGATCGCGCCATTGCACTCCAGCCTGGGTAACAAGAGCGAAACTCCGTCTCAAAAAAAAAAAAAAAAGAGATTCTCCTGCCTCAGCCTCCCGAGTAGCTGGGATTACAGGCATGCACCACCAGCCCTGGCTAGTTTTGTATTTTTAGCAGAGATGGGGTTTCTCCATGTTGGTCAGGCTGGTCTCAAACTCCTCATCTCCAGTGATCCAACTGCCTTGGCCTCCCAAAGTGCTGGAATTACAGATGTGAGCCACCTGCCTTTTTTTATTTTTATTTTTTTTTATTTTTTCATTTTTTATTTTTATTTTGTTTGTTTGTTTGTTTGTTTGTTTTGAGACAGAGTTTCGCTCTTGTTACCTAGGCTGGAGTGCAACGGCGCGATCTCGGCTCACCGCAACCTCCGCCTCCTGGGTTCAGGCAATTCTCCTGCCTCAGCCTCCCGAGTAGCTGGGATTACAGGCACGTGCTACCATGCCCAGCTAATGTTTTTTATTTTTAGTAGAGACGGGGTTTCACTATGTTGACCGGGATGGTCTCGATCTATTGACCTCGTGATCCACCCGCCTCGGCCTCCCAAAGTGCTGGGATTACAGGCTTGAGCCACCGTGCCCGGCCTTATTTTTATTTTTGAGATGGAGTCTCACTCTGTTGCCCAAGCTGGAGGGCAGTGGTGCCATCTCAGCTTACTACAACCTCCACCTCCCAAGTGTAAGTGATTCTCCTGTCTCAGCCTCCCGAGTAGCTGGGATTACAGGCACACACCAACATGCCTAGCTAGTTTTTTTTATAGTAGAGATGGGGTTTCACTATGTTGGCCAGGCTGGTCTTGAACTCCTGACCTCAGGTGATCCACTGCCTCAGCCTCCCAAAGTACTAAGATTACACGTGTGAGCCACCACACCCAGCAATAACTGATTCTTAATGTACCTGGTTCTTAGGTTTGGATTTGGGGTTTCAAATTCAAATCAAAGACTCTTGGGATATAAGGGCCCTTGGAGATCATTTGAGCCAAGCTCCAGCTTCTTTGGTCGTGGGGACAGCTCCAGTTACTAGAACATGATTTCAATTGAGCCATGCTTTTTTTTTTTTTTTTTTTTTTTTTTTTTTTTTTTTTTTTTTTGAGACAGAGTTTCGCTCATTACCCAGGCTGGAGTGCAATGGCGCGATCTCAGTTCACCGCAACCTCCGCCTCCTGGGTTCAGGCAATTCTCCCGCCTCAGCCTCCTGAGTAGCTGGGATTACAGGCACGCACCACCATGCCCAGCTAATTTTTTGTATTTTTAGTAGAGACGGGGTTTCACCATGTTGACCAGGATGGTCTCGATCTCTTGACCTCGTGATCCACCCCCCTCGGCCTCCCAAAGTGCTGGGATTACAGGCTTGAGCCACTGTGCCCAGCCCGAGCCATGCTCTTACACAGTCCTTTGCCTGGGGATTTTGCAGCCCATGCTTCCTGGAGGCATTTCCATGGTCACACAGCAGGCCTTTCTGATCTGCTCTCAGGCCTTGCTAGCCTGAGCTCTGGGGCCAACACTGAGCTGTTAGCCCATCAGCCATGTCATGCTGGTGGCTTTAGCAGGGACATACTAGGACCTCTCAGAGGGAAGGAGGGGAGGAGAATTGGCCACTTAGTTCTGCTTGCTTCTTCCCAGATGGCTGCCCCTGGCTGGTGATTACAGATTTTGGCTGCTGCCTGGCTGATGAGAACATCGGCCTGCATTTGCCCTTCAGCAGCTGGTATGTGGATCGGGGCGGAAACGGCTGCTTGATGGCCCCGGAGGTGAGTCCCGAGCACGTCATGTGCCATTGGCAGCCCTTCTCCCATGCTTCCACTGAGTACAGAATGAGACTTGATGCCTTATGAATACCCAGCAACTCCATCTTTTCTGACCCATAATTTGGTACAAGTTCCTTCCCTGCCACTTTGCTTTCCTTCAGCCTTCCCTCATATTCCAGGCAAAGCAAGTCCTGTCACATAAACCAGGCAGTCTAAGTAGACCCTCTGGGTCTGAGCCGCAGCTCGCTCAAGCTCCAGGTTCCTTGGGACAGAGTTCAGATTAGCCCATGAATCAGGTGACGTGCAGGGCATGAAAAGGTTAGACACGCAGCCAGGTGTGGTGGCTCACGCCTGTAATCCCAGCACTTTGGGAGGCTGAGGCGGGTAGATCACAAGGTCAGGAGTTTGAGACCAGCCTGGCCAACATGGTGAAACCCTGTCTATTAAAAATACAAAACTGGGCGTGGTTGCACATGCCTGTAATCCCAGCTGCTCAGGAGGCTGAGGTAGGAGAATGGTTTGAACTCAGGAGGCAGAGGTTGCAGTGAGCTGAGATTGCGCCATTGCATTCTAACCTGGGCAACATAGCAAGACTCCTCAAGAACAACAACAGAAAAGGTTAGACACGCAACCAGCATGACGTCTCACCCGTTGCTTCTGAGCAGGTGTCCACAGCCCGTCCTGGCCCCAGGGCAGTGATTGACTACAGCAAGGCTGATGCATGGGCAGTGGGAGCCATTGCCTATGAAATCTTCGGGCTTGTCAATCCCTTCTACAGCCAGGGTAAGGTCCACCTTGAAAGTCGCAGCTACCAAGAGGCTCAGCTACCTGCACTGCCCGAGTTGGTGCCTCCAGACGCTAGACAACTGGTGAGGGCACTGCTCCAGCGAGAGGCCAGCAAGGTGAGATTGTCCCCGGCTTCAAGAGGACAGTGTGGGCGGAAACCTCAGTTCTCGTTCCAGAGTGAAGATTAGGTTTGGGCCAGCACCATGGTGACAAAGCCTCTGTGTTAGGAAGGCAGAAGGTAAAGCCTAGTTACAGGAGAATAAAAAACAGATTTTAATGTAGATAGAAGTAGGAGTGCTAGCCACCACATGGGTCCTAGTAGTTCAACTCCTGTAGCTTTTTTAGTTGCTTAAAAAGTTGTTCAGAGGCCAGGTATGGTGGCCTATAATCCCAGCACTTTGGGAGGCCGAGGCGGGCAAATCACTTGAGACCAAGAGTTCCAGACTAGCCTGACCAACGTGGTAAAACCCGGTCTTTACTAAAAATACAAAAATTAGCCAGGTGTCATGGCGCATGCCTATAATCCCAGCTACTCAGGAGGCTGAGGCAGGAGAATCTCTTGAACCCGGGAAGCGGAGGTTGCAGTGAACCAAGATCACACCACTGCACTCCTGGGTGACAGAGCAAGACTATCTCAAAAAAAGAATCTATTTTTGAGAATTTCTATTTTTGAGAATTTTTTTTTTTTTTTTTGAGATGGAGTCTTGCTCTGTCATCCAGGCTGGAATGCAGTGGCACGATCTTGGCTCACTGCAGCCTCCACCTCCTGGGTTCAAGCAATTCTCCTGCCTCAGCCTCCCAAGTAGCTGGGATTACAGGTGCCCGCCACCGTGCCCAGCTAATTTTTGTATTTTTTTAGTAGAGACGGGGTTTCACCATGTTGGCCAGGCTGGTCCCAAACTCCTAACCTCAGGTGATCCACCCGCCTGGGCCTCCCCAAGTGTTGGGATTACAGGCGTGAGCCACCGCACCCAGCCAAGAAATGTTTAATGGAGATGTAGCTCATGAAAACAGCTGAGAACTGATCAGACAGATAGATGAGAAACATCTTCTGAGAGCAGATGTGGACACTGTGAAATTAATATATAAGAATGCAAAGGCAGACGTATCTGAAGCCGTAATTGGAGTGGCAGCTGGCTCAGGGGTAGGCTTAGTGCAAAGAGCTAAGCCATACCTGCATCTCAGCACTGTTCTGCCACTCCGTTAACCACTTCCTGTACATGGCCTGCTTATCTTGGTCACAGTAGGTGCGCAGTGAAGGTTAGAAGCTGCAACCAGTTATGAAATAATGAGAGACAAAGGGACCAGACAGCACAAGAGGCACTGGGCTTTCCACTGGGAGGAAAGGCTATTCCAGCAAGCGTGCTGTTCCATGGAGAGGTGTACACGTGGAAAAGCTTGGAGCATGGGTAGGGGGCAGGCAGTATTTGTCACCTGAGTAAAGGACATCAGTAGGAGATAGGGTAGAGGAAGAATTGGATTGGGGCCAGAGAAAGGAATACCCTCACTAACAAAGCAGGCATTGGGTTGAGACCATGTTAACAGATGTTGTAGCTTCAGCTTCCCTTCCTGTTGCAGAGACCATCTGCCCGAGTAGCCGCAAATGTGCTTCATCTAAGCCTCTGGGGTGAACATATTCTACCCCTGAAGAATCTGAAGTTAGACAAGATGGTTGGCTGGCTCCTCCAACAATCGGCCGCCACTTTGTTGGCCAACAGGCTCACAGCGAAGTGTTGCGTGGAAACAAAAATGAAGATGCTCTTTCTGGCTAACCTGGAATGTGAAGCGCTCTGCCAGGCAGCCCTCCTCCTCTGCTCATGGAGGGCAGCCCTGTGATGTCCTGCACGGAGCTGGTGAATTACTAAAAGAACTTGGCAGCCCCTGTGTCGTGGTGGTCTGTGAGTAGTGAGGGTGGGAGTCAGGAGACAAGATGGTGCAGAGAGGGTTGGTTAGCCAAAGAGAAGGCCTCAGGCTTGGCAAATGGAAGAACCTGAGTCAGAATTCAGTCTGCAGCTGCTGACTCTGGCTGTGCAATTTGGGATTAATCTCATAACCTGTGTGGACTTAAGTTCTCTTGCCTGTAAAACAAAGAAATTGGTATAAACCAGGAGTTGGCACCTTTCAGGTTGTGACAACTAGTCAGTCTTCCTTGCAGCACAAAAGCAACCCCGAGCACGTAATAAGTGTGGCTGGGTGCCAGGAGAGCTTTATTGATGGACACTGATGTTTGATTTCCATGTGTCACTAGTCTTTTCAACCATTTAAAAATGTAAGGACCATTTTTAGCTCGCAAGCCATATACAGGTTGCAGGCTAGATTGGCCCACACACCAGTTTACCAACCTCTGGTCTAGATGAATTTGAAGAACCCAACTCTACAAAAAAAATTTTTTAAAGCAAGCTCATCACTAGGTCTGTTTGTGCGTCCATGCTGAAAAATATAAAATGTGGTAAGCTTATCCCTGTGAAGGAAGCCAGTCAGGAAGGTAACTCAGGCTTGATTGCAGACTTCAAAGCCCTGTCTTCAACCCTTGCCCTGTCCTCAGACATCTGAAAAGTTAGTGGCCAAGCTGATGCATTAGAGGAGGCTGGACTGAGAAGGGGTAGGCCTGCATCCACAGCAGAGAGGATCCAGCCAAGGCATGGCTGTCAGTGGCAGGTTTGGCTGTGACCTTTGCCCCGAACATGAGGAACTTGTTTGAAGCAGGCAGCATAGCATGTCTGCATTTGCCACCTGGACAAAGGCAGCTATCAGCATGGGTCAGCACATTCAGTTACAGGAGTGGGAAACGTCCACGCGAGGCTTGGGAGGCTGGGGCCTGTGTGTTCCCAAGCTGTGCATTCTGGACCAGCTACTGAATTAATCCCACATAGCGAAGGTGACTGATGAGCAGTAAGTAAGTGTGGGGATTTAAACTTGAGGGTTTCCCTTCCGACTAGCATCTCTTACAGGAATTGTAAAATATTAGGTGCAAATTTACAACTGCAGATGACGTATATTGAACTGAATAGTTTTAAGAATGATTCTTATATGCTGAAGGTGAGAACATTTTGTGGGCAGGTGTCAACATTGGGGAAAAGATTTCACATACAACTTTACACATGATTTTTAGAACATGGCTATTGCCTAAACAAAGCAAGGTGGACACGCAGTTAAGGTGGACACGCAGTTAAAAGGTTCTCTTCCACCGAGCCGTTCTAGCCTTCTCTTACCCGGCTCTATCTTTCTAGATTATTTCCCATTTCAGTGAGTCCCACCCCTCGGTCTACTAGCAGCTTGCTTGTATCCTTTGAGGAGACCTTAGGAAGCACCGTCATTTCACAGTTAAAGACAGTCCAGTCTTGGGCAAAATTTCACAAAGCCACTTAGGATTTTGTATCCAGTCAGTCATCACCAAACAGCACCCCCATCCCCAACTGTAGGGGAAAGGGTCAGGTGAGTTTGAGGGCAACATCTCTTTATTTTAGAAACGAGAGTGACTTCACATATGAAAAATGCCACTTAGCAATTCAAAGTGGAAAAACTTACATAAAAATTATCCTGACTCCCACCCCTTGGCTCTGAGTGTCGCATCTCCCACAGAGGTAAAGTTGTGCCATTTTCCCATGGCTTTAAACAAAGCAAAACAAAAACCACCAACCCCCCTCCCCGTTCCCACACCGTATGGAGTCCCAGGCCTCTGGCCCCTCAGTCGGATTTCTCCTTCTCCTTCATGTGCAAGAAGACAATGCTGAAGATGAAGAGCCCCAGCATCATGGAGAAGGCGCTGGCGTAGTAGGGGTAGGCCGAGGGGATGAAGCGCTCGTACTGTGTGTGCTGCAGTGGCCGCACGGATACCTGCGGGAGGACAGAGGTGGCAGGCCCTGGCCGCTGCAGAGCCTGGGCAGGGCACATGCTAGCTGGAAACGGGGACTGTCACCTGTGCTTACCTGAGTGGAAGAGTACAGGTGTGTATAGCCTAGCCGATTGTAATCCACTTTAAACTGGAATACACCGTACACATCAGGCAACTTGAACTGAACGCTGTATTTGCCCCCTGCGGAAGAACCAACACGAATAACCGGGAGGGTTTCCCAGAGTATTTCCCAGTTGGGCCTCTGGAGAGCAGGCGAGGCCCGGGGCAGTTTCCGGCAGCATCCTCGTGGAGGAGCTGCACTCACCTTTCTTCTTCAGGAAGGTCCTCACAAAAGGATCGATGCGGACGAATTCCAGCTGAATGTCATCACCGTCAAAGGGGACCCATTTGCCATTTGAGAGCTGCTGGATCACGATGCTGTACTCCTGAGATAAAAGGCCAGGTTAGCCAGGGCTGGCCGTGACTGGAGGCGTGCCACCACCTGCAGGCAGAGCTGCACTGAATTCCCACCCAGTGCGCACGGCAGGAACCCCCTGGAGTTCAGAAGACCTGCAGATGCCCCTGCCACGCAGCCCTGATGGGTAACCAGTCTTTCTCCTCAGCAAGGTTAATGCCCCCGACACAGCAGCTCTGCCTCGTCTTCGCAGGCCCAAATTCCTTCGCACAGTATTCATGGCCCATCGAAGTCTGGACCCAACCACCGTCCTGACTTGCGAGTGTGCCAGACACTTTCAAGCATTCATGCTTCCATATTCGCTTTCTCTCACCTAACAAACTCATCCTAATGACCTAACTGAAACGTTGTTTCTCTTGTAAATCCAACTTCCTGGGCAGAGTTAAATCAGTGAAGCCCCTCCCACTGCTGCCCCCTATAGCAAATACACCTCTTCAGAAGTGCTCCCATTAGGACATCAGTTTTCGTACCAGGCTCTGCGTCTCGCCTGGCCTGCTTAGGTGTAGGCATTAACTTACTCATCTTTCTTTATGCCCTTTACGCCAACACAGAAATATTCAATAAGTACTGAGCTGAGCTCAGTCAGCTTGGCAGAACCCTGGGGCCCTCACACCCCAAGCACCTCTTACCACTAGGTCAGTGACAGTGTAGGCATTGGGTGGGGCTGTCTCGCCCACCCGATGATGGGACACAGGCCCCACACGGAGGACACCCTCCTCCTTGAACACCCAGCGGGAGAGGGCCACAGCTAGCTCATAGTTGCCTGTCTGGGAATACCTGCAGGAGGGAAACAGGAGAAGTCTGGGCACCAGAGCCACCTTCTTTCCAGTGGTGCCTGATGAGCAGGACACTAATGTCCACCATGACAGTGCCCTAGCGAAGTTCTGCCTGTAGGCCTTTGGGCACCTAGGGACCCACGGTTAAAGGAAACACATGAACAAATGAAAAGATATGGGGGGTGCTGCGCTGGGTGTGATTTGCACAACAAACAATTTTCTAAAAGCAACAGTGGAGGTCAGGGGTTAGGGACCTCAAGATAAGGCACTACTACTTTAGAAAATTGGAAGTGCCGGCTGGGTGTGGTGGCTCATGCCTGTAATCCCAGCAGTTTGGGAGGCTGGGGCAGGCGGATCACAAGGTCAGGAGTTTGAGACCAGCCTGGCCCATATGATGAAACCCCATCTCTATTAAAAAATACAAAAAAATTAGCCAGGCATGGTGGATACCTGTAATCCCAGCTACTTGGGAGGCTGAGGCAGAATCACCTGAACCCAGGAGGCGGAGGTTGCAGTAAGCCAAAGATCACGTCACTGCACTCCAGCCTGGGCAACAGAGCAAGACTCTGTCTCAAAAAAAAAAAAAAAGGAAAAAGAAAATTGGAAGTGTCAATACCAGCAATATAGCAATAAAGTCCTGAAATAATCTGACAGCACCTGAAACACTCAGCCTCTGACACTTTTAGCTAAAAGTCTCCTCCTCCCGCTTCTAAGTCCTCCCCCCATACACAGACCGAACCACCTAGATCCCCAGCCCCTAAGTCTCTCGGCAGTTACCTCTGGGAGCCGGGCGTGGCCTTCTGCACTGCTGAGTTGAAGAAGGTGTCACTGAAGAAGTCGAGGGAGCCGCTGAAGATGACTCGGGCATTGTTCCTGGCTTGGAGCCCAGCAATGAGGAGGGTGTTCTTCCCCACTGCATGCGGATACTGGGAACAGAAAGAGGCTGTTACCCAAGCGGTTCCAAGTCAGGGAAGAGTTGCCGCGCCTCCTGAGCAAGAGGACAGTGGGTCAGACCAAAACGACCCTGGCCCTACCTGAAGGGGAGCCCAAGACCACAGGGCTTCTGCCCATGCCACACCCCACCAACCAGTCATTTCCTCTGCTTCAGCGAAATGTGCTGTTCTGTTTCATTCTTATTTTGAAGCCTCAAGGCTGTGAGGCCCTTACCTGGGTGATAGGCTTGTCTGGGAAGAAGGAGTAAGAGGTGGAAGAGCCCGTGAGGATGTCCAACACCAAAGGGTTATCAGGATCAGCCACCATCCTGCAGCAGGACAAAAGCAGCCCAGCACTGGCCCCAGGAACTGAGCCCAAGGACAGGGGATCCCCAAGCCAGTTCTTCCCAGGAATGAATCCTTTTTTCTTAACTGCCAACCACTTAGCTCTTGTCTTGCTATAAAAATGGAGTTTGACTTTTTTTTTTTTTTTTGAGAAAGATCTCGCTCTGTCCCCCAGGCTGGACTGCAGTGGCACGATCTTGACTCACTGCAACCTCTGCCTCCTGGGTTCAAGCGGTTCTCCTGCCTTGGCCTCCCGAGTAGCTCAAACTACAGGCACATACCAGCACGCCTAGCTAATTTTTATTTTTAGTAGAGACAGGGTTTCACCATATTGGCAAGGCTGGTCTCGAACTCCTGACCTCAGGTGATCGCCCACCTCAGCCTCCCAAAGTGCTGGGATTACAGGTGTGAGCCACCATGCCCGGCCAACTTTTTTTTTTTAAGAGAGAAGGTCTCACTATGTTGCCCAGGCTGGTCTCCCAACTCCTGGCGTCAAGCGATCCTCCTGCCTAGGCCTCCCAAAGTGCCGGGATTACAGGAGTGAGTCACTGCACTCGGCCTTGGCTTAATATAATACATAAATCTCATTTATATACCCCCAAATAATGACAATTCTGGCTTGATTTCCCCCCAAAAAAATTAAGGGACCCCTTCTTCCCCCAGGTTTCTGCTGGCCTTTCCCTACTCACGCACCCAACACCTCGAAAGAGGATGGGATTTAGAGGTGATTTCCCCACAATGGTTGGGGCCTTCAGCAGGTTCTCGGTGTCAGCCACGATGAGCGTATGCTGCAAAGAGCAAGCAGAAAGCAGGGTGGTGAGGAAAAGATCCCCAAGCCAGGGAGTACCTCCTCACTCCCTCTTGGTTTTTGGCTAAGCCAAGCTTTGCCGTATGTGCCTGAAACCTGGAAGGTGACAGCCTGCTTACCTGGCCGAGGTCTGAGATGTCATAGTTGTGATGGTCAATGACAGCTGTTTTCTCCTCGTCAAACTCGATCCCGCACTCACTGCCCAGCTCTCGAAGAGGGTCACCTGCACAGACCCAAAAGACACCTGGCTAAGCCCTTACAGGGGGCCTTGGGTCAAGTGTCCTGGCTTCCTTGTGACTCCCTCTCTGCCAGTCAGCCCCAGTGCCCAGCAGCCCCCAATGGAGCCCTGGACAGCAGCATGCTATTCTGCCCCCATGAGTCAGAATCTGAACTGATAAAACAGTTCCCTCACCGACTCCCAAGCTAAGACCCACCCAGTCAATGCTAATTTGGCAGTTTCTATTTGTAAATCTCTCCAACTCTCTGGAAGAGTAGAAAGCACCAGAACCTCCCAGGTCAGACTCACCAATGTCTGAGCTGGCAGCTACCAGCACACTGCCTCCACCGTCAATAAAGGCACTGATAGTCTCCACGTTGATGTTGCCTCCAAAATCTGAAAGCAGGCACCAGACACAGTGACCCAGAGGTCTCCTCTCTCTGCTCCTCTGACACTTGCAGGGAGGGGACAGGAAGGGCAGAGCAGCCATGAGCACTGGCAGAGAAGCACCCTTTGGAGGCCACAATAAGGGAGAGGCTTCCCACACCACATCCCAGCAAGGGCCATCCTCCCAGCGTGAAGACTCAAAATGATGGCTT